TTAGACTCTGCACGCAGCGTAATAGTGCCCCTATTATCCATGTTCATGTTCTCATTTGATTTTTCATCAGCTATGACTTGGTAAAATTTGCTCCGATTTTCTTTACGGCGCCCGGCCGATTGAGTATTTTGTTCAGAATTGAATACAATTTTGAACAAAATACTCATCGGCCGGGCGCCGGTGCTGAAAATCTGAGCAAATGTGACCACGGCATTATAAAAGCATACTCTTTAATACACGAACAGACTCAAAATAAGACTTTATCTATCAGAGAAATAAAAATGGAAAATTTGTATTCTGAAAATATTAACTGATGCATTGGTCAGTATTAAATATTAAGTTTTACAGTCGGAAACCTCAAGGGGCGGGAAATTTGATTAAACAAAACGCCGGATTAATATGTGGACAACTTGCAAATGAAATGTAAGTAACATGACAGAACGAGTATGTACGCCCAATAAATACTTTTATAGTTTTAATGTGCATTCAAAGGACCCCGTTTGTAAAATTGATAGAAATGAATAGTTTTATTACCGGAAAAAACTGAGAAATATCTACCCGATTCGCCAGAATAGTCATCATCATATCAATGAGAAAAATTAGCTATATTTATTTTCTATGCGATATACACCTGATATTGATAGCCTTCCACGATCATGGTCCGTTGACATCATCCCCGACATCATCAACCTTGTGATTTGCCATATTTGATAAGTGATTAACCAACATTTTTTAATTAAAAGTCGGGGTTGACGTTTCTTGACTTTTCACACTGACATCCAAACAAAACATAATTTGAAAATAAAAGGCATAAAATGGCCATTAAAAGTACATTTTTGAACAAAAGTATCAACTTATATTACACTGCACGCAAATACAAAGTGAAAAGAACGTCTTCCCGGAGATTGAAATACGGATCGGTAAGTCAACAAATCTAACTGTTAAATAAACAAGCTTAGCCTATGTCTGCGATTGTTTGTCTGAGTGGCCAGATGTTATCCGTTTCGGATAATAAATTTCTGAGAATACTACTGATATCTAGAATACATCTTCCGTGATATTTTTCATAAAACTACCCTTTGCATTCGTTTGACTTCACTTCTTAAAAGAGAGCTTCGTCTTAGTGTAGTTTAACTAGACTCTGCACGCAGGGTATCGTAAAACAGGCATCATAGCTGCAATTTTGAATAATAGCGTAATTCATAGCACAATATAAATTAACCCGCCTCTGTTTAATTCAAATATGCATTACCCTTAAGAATCATATACTTAGACACCTTTTCATTCTTGATTCGAATCTTTATCTTGTCTTCATCTAAAGTTGTGGATTAATAACAGTTTTTAGTATACAAATTGAACATACAAAATGTAGCGTATTGATTACACGTTACAGTGGCGTAGCCAGCTTTCAGTCGGGGGGAGGGGGGGGGGTGCGATCGTGGCATAAAAAATGTTTTTGAAGATTTGTTTTGAATTTTACAAAAATTAGTGCAACTTCGTTCAAAATCGAGCTAGAAGCTTCAAATAAAAAGTATTTTAAGACTTTTTTCTTCTATCCAATGGTTCTATTTTCATTGGTTATGGAGGGGGGGGGGGGGTGCGATCGCACACATCGCATCCCCCTGGCTACGCCTACCCTGTATGCGCTATATTAATATAACAAGGTTATCATATCATGCCAATAGTTAGATGGTTAACTAATATTAACACAAAATAATAATACACGATAATTAAAAAAATAAACCTCGGTATTCGGGCCTAAAATCCAAGGATACGTGTACCATTACTTAAGTGTAAGCTGCAATACCATATCGAATACCTGTACCATTACTCAATAATAACCACTAGTAAGACCATAATAACAAGCTTAATAACTAGCTTATCGCAACTTATTCCATACGATTTTGTCTTGTGATATGCACTGAAAATGCACTCAAAAAGGACAAAATTTGATTTTCCCACTATGCATTTCGCGTAGCTATTTGCGTGACACGAAAGTTCTAAATCAAACTAATTACTCAATTTTGTTTTTACACCCGCACGCTAAACTTTAGCGTGCGGGTGTAAAAACAAAATTGAGTAATTAGTGACAATGACACCATCGTAAGTATTCTTCTTCGTCATTGCTTTAATAGTCAGTATACCGAGTTTAATCAATAAAAGATTGTACAATGAACAACAAAATTCGGAAACGAGTACTATAGATTTGCTTTCGGACCACTGAACAGATTGACCTAGATAATAGTCACGCGTCTTCTTTGGTCTACTGCTCAGTTGTTTGTGGGTTTTCAACGTAACTCTATAATGTAATTTGAAGATGAATACTTTTATTCAGTTGTTGCATCGATGTCGCAGTTTGTAGTGCGGTAAGATTGGCATGGAAGTATTGAAAGTCGAATGGAATTGTTTTTTCCAATATGGCGACTAGTCTACTGATCACGTGACCTTCTCTTCCGGAATATTTTCTCACTTTTCAATCATCGTTTTCACCACGCTATGAATTAATACAATGAAAAAAATAGCTGTTATATTAAGATTAATGAGAGATCAATCGTTTCTAATAATTTTTTCTGTACTCTCGTACGGTAATATGAACGAATATATCGTTTGAAAAATAGGTGTGAAAATCCCCATGTTAAACCTATGAGGGAAAATAAGGAAGTATAAATTTGTTCCTCCGCGAACTGCATAAAATATTTTGCCCTTATAAGGAAAGATTTTCGCGTCTTCTCTTTTGAAGAGGGAACATCGATTTCGAGAATTGGGCAGATTCTCACCAGTTAGTTTTCGAAAATAACACATTGGTGTGATGTTTTAATCGATGTAAGCATATTCATTACACCTCTATCTCTTTATCTTGATACAAAATAACAATCAAAACGCCAGAAAATAACGTAATATTATTTGAAGCGTGCTTCGAAAATTTTGAAACCGCCATTGTTTGTTTGTCGATTTGACCAATCAGGGCGATATGCTTTCTCAATACAGATTTACATGATAGACATATGTCTTCCTTGAACCCTGGGGTTATCCCCCTTGGTTTAGTAGAAAACGCACGATCTCGGAATAATACTCAAGGGTGTGCAGGTTGAGGTCAGTGTGTAAACACCTCTAGATCTGTCTGTTTATGTAATGTTACAGTATTATATTCTATTCACATTAAGTTTTATAGTGTTTAATGGAAAAGTTGATATATTGATCTACCTACAGTACCAAGTATAAGTACAAAGCATGGTCTTATGAAATGTCCTATTCATAAATGAAACAAAACGTTTTGGACTTATACAAGGATTTTTATTTGTTCATTCATCCTTGGGATAAGTCACCCACTCAACCTCTCACTATTTCCATATTGTAAACTTTTCTACGCATTGTTTTATCTTCGTGAAGATGATTTGAATACACTGGAATATACCGAATTCCCCTAAATAGACTGATCCAGTGGACTCGTCTTAAGTCGCCATTTTGTATGTATACGTAACCCTTTAAGCAGACTGATTATTTTGATCACTTTTAAACCTTCAGATATCAACGAATGTTCCTCATCAAACGGCGGATGTAGTCAAATATGTACAAACACAGTTGGTTCTTACAAGTGTAGTTGTCGTTCCGGATACAGGTCTTCTGGCAAATATTGCACAGGTAGGGCTTACTAACTCGTTTGGTAGTTTAATTCCAGCACTAATAAAGTAAGTTCATTTAATTGTCAAAGATATGATACATGCAAGGGAAAGATCAATACCCGGTGATTTCAGCGGGAAGTGGCGTTTCGTTCATTGGATGAGCTGCGCGCGCACGCATAAATGTGATTATCCAATATAATTAGGGGAGGGCTATTTGAAGTAGTTTTTGGTCTCAGGCGCGACCCAGGGCTGTTGTCTTAAGGACATTTCGTTGAAAATTAGCCATTCGGCTGATAATTGGTAAGAGTTTGCGATCTTATAATGTATAACTGTTACTCAGACACATATTTTGACACGATTCTGTTGGAAATAAGCTTTGAACCGAGAGATATTCACGATTGATATGCACATTTTTGATTGTGCCATTGCTTTTCTATTGCACAACCCATGTATTGATAGAAGAAACATTAATAATACAGATTGGTTTACCTTCAATACATGGCAGACACTACATATCGGTCTATTAATACCAGTTTGTGCCTTAAATAGTTTTATATTTCCATCCACGGCCTGGAGCCTGGGTGTGTTTGTCTCTTATGTGTATGCTTGTGCATGGACTTCTAATCACTAGCAGAATTTAACATGATGCAAACTCGACATTATAACTCATGCTGTAACATTTTGACTTCGCTGGAAAACAATAGGAATTATTTTTCTTGCCAATCAATCATGAATCACAATCAAAATTTCAGAATGATCAATCAGGCAATGATCCAAATCAAGTTATAACATTATATGATATTCAGCAAGAAGTCCGGTAGAAATACAGAATATTTAAACATCAAAGCTGAAAGTTAAAAGCTAATCTGTCAATTTTCTGTCTGCAAAAGAGCGTCCCAAGAGCGTTTACATTTGACACAATAACAGACTGAGGCCTTGAAATCTAGGATTCCCCAGGAAAATATGACGTCATACTAATTAGCATAAGGATTTCCCTATTGGGGTGGGTCGAGCCTTGTTCGAAAACACAATCCATAAATACATGCTAATTTCTAAGGAGATAGGAAGTGTATAACGTGTTTATCGATTTTGTTTAAAGATTTAATCAATTATCAAATTGTTTAAGTGGATAAAGTGGTCACACTTGCTTCAATTCATAGCGAAATCGACGGATAGAAACTGACCGAATTCCCGATATCCTACCCCGTATTACTGTAGGCTATAAGCACAGTGACCTACAGAGGGCGCTATCACAAACAAGTACTGGACGAACCGATAAATTCCCGGGTATTGTAACGCCCTTGATACATGTAGAAGCAATTTTAATCAGGAATATGAACTGCAGACTAGTTATTTTGATTACGTTTACACTTTTAGATATCAACGAATGTTCGTCATCAAATGGCGGATGTAGTCAAATATGTACAAACACAGTTGGTTCTTACAAGTGTACTTGTCGTTCCGGATACAGGACTTCTGGCAAAAACTGTATAGGTGGGGCTTAGTATTTCGTTCGACAGTTTGTTTGTCAATACTCTTAAAGCACGTTCGTGCGTCCATGTAGACATTTGAAATCAAGAAGATAAATTGCATAAAATCTGTCTGATTATTTTGATCAATTTCAAAACTTTCAGATATAAACGAATGTTCTTCGTCCAACGGTGGATGTAGCCAAATATGTACAAACACGCTTGGTTCATACTCGTGCAGTTGTCATTCTGGATACCAGGCTTCTGGCAAAAGTTGCACAGGTAGTGTTCACAAACTTTGCTTGACTTTATTACCATAGGGAATTGGTTAAGTGAAATATAGAAAAGAGGGCTGGAATGACTAATGGCAACATGAGGTCACACAGTTATTTTCACATTTGAAATTATGTGTTCGTCGGTCAAGCCCTCGATCGCGATCATAAAATGTGGTTACAATGAGGCATACGGGAAACCAATGTCAGGGTCAAGGTATTCTGAAAGATTTAAAGCTTTTAACCTTAAGGTCTTTGCAAACTCATGCATAGTTACCCTATGAGGATAATGGAATGATAAGTTCCTCTAATTGTCTCTTGATTAAAAGATCAAATGTAATGTCTGCCTTTATAACGCCCGAAATCACCCGAGAAAGACTGTCATAAATAAAATGTCAATAGAACTAATGTAAGTACTTATTTTAAGTGTCTCTAAATACCCCAGTATGTTATGTCGTTGAAGTACGAGATCAACGCTACTTGATGTAAATAGACGATTACATGCCAATTATACTTACAGAATGGATTGAGTGCTCTACAGTCGCTACTTAAACTGCCTCATTGAGTGCTAGTGATTTAATTGATGTATTCGATTTTTGGAGTGGATTAAAAAAACATTGTTGAAAACTATTTCAGCACTCAAAGAATCCTATAAATAGAACAAAAGTTATAAAACACTCCATTCAATTGTGTTATTTCCTCTTTTGATTTAGTGTAGCCATTTGGTTGAAATTATAAAAAACAAAAGTTAAAAACAACTTTGACTTGTGTAAGCATTACGTTCAGTGTATCGAAGAGGAAAGCAGTTCATGAAGCGTATACACTATGTGGGTGAATATACATAATTGTTTTTATGTTACCGCCCCAAGTGTCTCAAACTTTTTTTGTGGGCGGTGTTCGGCGTTCAGCGTCTGTAACAAGTAGCATGAGGTGACATTTTGCATGTTAATGCCTTGCTTACTTTATTATGATTTGTTATCCTTAAATATGATCTGAAGCCGTAGATTACAAATATGTTAAATTTAAGATATCAACGAATGTTCTTCGTCAAACGGCGGATGTAGCCAAATATGCACAAACACAGTTGGCTCTTACAAGTGCAGCTGCAATCCTGGATATCAGGCTTCCGGCAAAAGCTGCACAGGTATCTCCACCTTTTGTATAGTTTTTATACGTAACTACGGTAGCATTATTATAATACGTTTATGTTAGATAAATCATACTTCATCATAAACTGTCATATACATATTATCTCTAGATGCATATGTTCTTCTTGGTATGCTATCTGGCATCTTTTTCATTGCATGTGATATTTTATGTAATCGGTTGGGTTGTCATTTTGAAGGACATTATAAGATGACAATGTTTATTTAATTATTTTAACCATCACAAAACAAAATATTGCAATGCATGGGACAAAAAAGTCGCTGGTAGTGTCTGTAAGTTCAGCACAAGTTCAGCAAGTTCAGCACACACACACTATTTTTGCTTAGTTTTCCTTTAATTTTCGAAATCTCACATAAACTCAAATTCAACATAAACTAATTGTATGTTTATATTCCGGTGTACGTTCAAAATTGATGATTGATTTTGTTGACTGTGGGAATGATATCTCTCCATTATGAAGCAAATCTTAAAAACTCGAGGTGCTAGTCTTACCCACAAAAGAAGAAATACGATTTTACATATTCAACAACATCAAATCACTAGTATAAGGTCAGTACGGTATCGTTTTGGCTATGGTACTGTACGGTACCGTAAATATGGCAGTATAAAACAGTACATTACGGTACCGAGAACACTGTGTAGAACATACTCTAACGGTACCGTAAGGTAACATATACTCTAAATGTACCATTACCATGCGTTACCGAGATTTTAGTGCTGATTAGGGGTTTAGTGTTGACTAGGGGTGTATATGAATAACCAAACTTTATATTTTAAGATATTGATGAGTGTTCCACAAACAACGGTGGCTGCCATCACACCTGCACCAATACAGCAGGCTCATACAAATGTTCCTGTGAGTCCGGTCACGAGATACATGATGATCGCCATACATGCACAGGTATTTACAAATGCATGATGATCGTCATACCTGCACAGGTATTTACAAATGCATGATGATCATCATACCTGTAGAGGTATTAACAAGTGCATGAAGATCGTCATACATGTACAGGTATTTACAAATACATGATGATCATCATGCCTGTAGAGGTATTTATTTACAAGTGCATGATGATCATCATACCTGTTGAGGTATTGTTCATATATACACGATGTTCGTCAAAACTGCACAGGTATTTACAAATACATGATGATCATCATACCCATTCTCTAATGCACCTTTTTGTGCAAGGCTGAAAACAAATAGCACATGGTCATGGAATTTATCAAAATGTCGAAAGTATACATTGACCTTAAATCAAGGTTTTGCAAGCACTGATCGGCCAGTATTGGCCAAAATGCCCTAATACGTCACTTCCGCTGAATAGAAAAAAGTAGTATTCAAAAATAAATGTAGTCCCAACACAATTGTGATCATGACGAGTCAGTAAGCTAGTATGTAGGCACAGTTGTAATCTTTTTGCAATGGCAACATGCCATTTCTTCTGAAAATGCGTTTATTTGGGTTATCTGAAGGAAAATTTCGAGTCAAGTGGCGTATTAATTTTGCCTTCATTTTTGTGAATTTCAATTTGTGTCTGCAGAGAGAGGGGGTAGTGTCACAATTGACCAATTATTTCAAAAAGTAGATGATTGGCCCCTATTGAGTTTAGTGTCAAGATGTAGCTTAGACATAGCTTTAGAACCTCAGATAGGCCAGTGGGGCCACATAAATCCATAACTCGAGATAAAAAGCCAGGCGTTTGCCCTTTTGCCCATTGACTAGTATGGTGACGTGAATTAGGGCAGTTTTGCCTATTAGTCACATGTGAAAGTGACCAAAATTTTTTAAAACTACTCAGAATCGCCCAGAATTGAAGTTTATCAGTGTGAAACATATTTTGGACGGAGGCAAAAAGGGGAATTTTCATGAACAAATTTAATGTTTTTGCTGAATCAGCAGTTTTCGCTTTTTACCCCAAAAACCACTGATTTTGACGATATTTGGCTACAATTTTGTCCTTAGTGACCCCTAAATGTCATTTGTTGTCGTAAATGGGGAAGCCAACGAGTTGCTATTCATCATAAAGATTGAATTTTCCATCTTATGGTTTCCAGTACAGAAAGAAGGTACATATCGGGGGTGCAGTCAGAAATTGGTGAGTTAAGTGTCAATTTCTGATGTATTTGTTCACTGAATGACTACATTCGAGCTAAAAAATATCTCAAAAGTCCCAATTCTCTAGGCCAGAGTCAAAACTGATCAAATTTGTCATCATTTTTCAAATCAGGAGGTTGTTGAATGGAATAAAGTATGAAAAAGTGATGATTTTAGTAAGATTTTGCCAAAAAGTGGGCCAAATTTGTCCAATTTTCTGGTTCACGGTTCAGTGATTTTGGCTAAAAATCGCAATATGCAATAAAATGCTCAATTTCTTGACACGATACTGAAAAATGTCACCACCAGGCAGTGGATTTCATGATGTAAATGAAAAACTAGTCAAATTTAAAGGAAAACCATTGGGTTCTTGGAAAAATGACCCCAGGGGTAATGAAGTAGCCATATTTTTCATAATTGCTGTCAGAATATTCTTAAACTGCACAAAACTACTTGAAAAACTCTAGTAAATTGGAAAAACGCAATTTAAAGCCAGAAATCATCCAACCATGTGGCTATTAGGCCAAAATGCCCTAATACGTCACTTCCGCTGAATAGAAAAAAGTAGTATTCAAAAATAAATGTAGTCCCAACACAATTGTGATCATGACGAGTCAGTAAGCTAGTATGTAGGCACAGTTGTAATCTTTTTGCAATGGCAACATGCCATTTCTTCTGAAAATGCGTTTATTTGGGTTATCTGAAGGAAAATTTCGAGTCAAGTGGCGTATTAATTTTGCCTTCATTTTTGTGAATTTCAATTTGTGTCTGCAGAGAGAGGGGGTAGTGTCACAATTGACCAATTATTTCAAAAAGTAGATGATTGGCCCCTATTGAGTTTAGTGTCAAGATGTAGCTTAGACATAGCTTTAGAACCTCAGATAGGCCAGTGAGGCCACATAAATCCATAACTCGAGATAAAAAGCCAGGCGTTTGCCCTTTTGCCCATTGACTAGTATGGTGACGTGAATTAGGGCAGTTTTGCCATTGCTACCAACCTCGTTTTGAGTAGCAAATTGTATTTTGTTTCAGATATTGATGAATGTCAGCTGAACAACGGGGGTTGTATGCACTCATGTAGCAACACTGGAGGATCTTACAGCTGCAGTTGCAAGACTGGTTACAATTTAAATGGCGACAAACACAGCTGCAAAGGTGAGGTTCTTGATATCATATGTACACTTTGAAATTCATTAGTAGCACATTGAAATAATTGTTCAAACATAGAAAGTTAGCAAGAGTGCAGTTGTAACACTAGATATGCCCTGATAAGGTGAATTCCATATCACCAATGAAAATTAGGAGTATTGTTTTTAAGCCTATCATTTCAATTTCATTTTAGATATTGATGAATGTGCTTCAAACAACGGCGGGTGTGATCACACGTGTTCAAACACGGAAGGTTCATATGAATGTAGCTGTAACATTGGATATGCCCTGGAAGATGATAATCATGGTTGTAAAGGTGAATTCCATTTCTGCAATGAGAATCAAATTCATTATTTTTATGTGGAAACATCAAATTAAACGTTCCTCTCCATTGTATTTTAGATATTGATGAATGTGTTTCAAACAACGGCGGATGTGATCACACGTGTTCGAACACGGAAGGTTCATACAAATGTAGTTGTAACATTGGATACGCCCTGGAAGATGATGATCATGGTTGTAAAGGTGAATTCTATATCTGCAATAAGAATTAATATCACTGTTTTCATTTCTCTACATCAAATGGAACATAACACTTCCATTGTATTTTAGATATTGATGAATGTGCTTCAAACAACGGCGGATGTGATCACACGTGTTCGAACACGGAAGGTTCATACAAATGTAGTTGTAACATTGGATATGCCCTGGAAGATAATGATCATGGTTGTAAAGGTGAATTCTATATCTGCAATAAGAATTAATATCATTGTTTTCATTTCTCTACATCAAATGGAACATAACACTTCCATTGTATTTTAGATATTGATGAATGTGCTTCAAACAACGGCGGTTGTGATCACACGTGTTCGAACATGGAAGGTTCATACAAATGTAGTTGTAACATTGGATATGCCCTGGAAGATGATAATCATGGTTGTAAAGGTGAATTTCATTTCTGCCATGAGAATCAAATTCATTATCTTTAGGAGGAAACATTAAATTAAACAATCCTTTCCATTGCATTTTAGATATTGATGAATGTGCTTCAAACAACGTCGGTTGTGATCACACGTGTTCAAACACAGAAGGTTCATATGGATGTAGCTGTAACATTGGATATGCCCTGGAAGATGATAATCATGGTTGTAAAGGTGAATTTCATTTCTGCAATGAGAATCAAATTTTTTGTTTTTTAAGTGGAATCATCAAATTAAACGTTCCTCTCCATTGTATTTTAGATATTGATGAATGTGCTTCAAACAACGGCGGTTGTGATCACACGTGTTCAAACACAGAAGGTTCATATGGATGTAGTTGTAACATTGGATATGCCCTGGAAGATGATAATCATGGTTGTAAAGGTGAAAACTTGTTACTTCAAGGGTTGTTCAAAATGTTTTGCACAAATATGTCTAATTATGACAATAATTAACCAATCTTATGGACAGTTGGTAGGTATGTGCCCCCATCTTATTTCCTTACCCTGATAAGGTTTCATATAAATATTAGTCTACTATTGAGCATTTTACGGTTGCTATAGTGTACCAAGGTAATGACGCTATGGTCCATATCATTTTGTAAAAAGAAAACTAGTAATATATGAAAAAAAAAATTACTAAACATACTTTTACTTTTATAAACTGTCAAGTTGAATTGAACAATATTTAGTTTTGTTCTCATCGTAAAAGTGAATGTCATATCAATATTTCACATCTGGTTTTATTTACTTTATACCAAAGAAGAACTGTAAACTTATATGTAGTCTTTAAACACCTTGAACACATCACCTGATTTTATGACGTTATTAAAGTTTTATGAAGTCATGAAATATTGGAGAATATGGCTCGAAATAATAAAGGAGTGTGTAGGTTATCGCAAGCAATTTCAGATAGTTATATCTTGGATAATGACTATGTTCTGACAATGAAGACAGGTATATCTTTTAGATCCATTCATCATCTCGGAGATATTTAATTAGCAATCAACACTAAAGATGTAGACCTCATTTTCACCAAAAATGCAATCATGTTCTACAATGTTTAATATATATATATATGTTTTATCGACTCTTTAGATGTCATATCATGACATATTAGTCACTTAGGTAGAGCAGTTCTTCCCATTGTCGAGTTGAAGAACTGGTATCTTTATCCTGGCTAGAACCATAGACAATTCTAGCCAGCGCCAGCCTTTTATCGAGTTAGAAGCACTCTAGTAATCGCCGGTATAGGTCAGCAGTCATAGGTCAAAGACAAATCGCTGTGACCTGGGTTTGAACCCAAGACCTCCACTTTTCAGCTTGATGCATTACTACTCTTTATTTTGATGCTTTAAGATAAATGTTTCCCATGTTATTTCTCCATTGAAAAAGCTCATGCTATCCATTGGTTTCAGTTCATTTTGATCATCCACATTCAGTATCTTTAAAGCCCCCGAAGCAATCCACTTTTCCTCTTAGGAAATAGAAGAACATGTCTCAAAGCATATTCTAATTATGCATTCAAAAATATAATAAAAGGTTTCATTTTTGAAAATTAGGTCAACATTTTTGAGAAAGTATGTTTGTACTTTTCTTGAAGATAATGAATGGATCTAAATGATACACCCATGTACATGACCAGAAAATATTCATAATTCAAGTTAGAATCGAAATTGTTTGCGATAACCTACGTGCTCCTTTGGAGTAGAATACATGATACAGAATATGGAAACAGTATTCCACAAGCTATATTCATTCATGCATTATACCATATTGCATATGATGACTCCAATAGGTATGGTTAAGTATTCCAAGATGAAATATTAGAAGGGAAAATGCATCGAGGGTAGCTGTAGTTATGAGAATGGTTAACATCCTACATATAGGATGATTCAGACACTTACTTTTGGACTGGACATAATGCATACATAATGCTACAATTAATTCATCACTGAAAAAGAACACAGCGTAAGATATATTTTGATTAAATATAATTAAGTTATAACATAGCCTGACGAACAGCTGAAAGAACAAAGATTGACTGAACCATCTCATTCTATCAAGGCATTCACAAATCAATTGACTTTAATGACGCCATATGGACCATGCTCAATGTATCTCAGGAAGTGCATTGCTTATTGGCCTGAAATATATGCTTGTAAGAAGATTGGTACTATATCTGCATTCATAAACATAATAAAATTTCTTCTTTTGAGAAGCCTCCGTGCAAAATCTTTCGAACGATCCTATATTAATCCACTTATTGACATCGTTATACCAATGATCCATGTTTCTTGAAATGATCATATGTAATTTATCTAATTCAAAGCTTCTTTTGCTCATTTCATAAGTAATATCGTCTCTATATTTGAAATGAATACGCCAAAAAACAATAGAGGGTTTGATATTTTAAGAAATATTATACCAACAATGTATTTCCCCTCTGGTGTAAAAGTAGGCCTCAATGAATACGTTTATCAAACTTAAATGGAATCTATTGCAATGTAATTTATCCATTGATGACGGTCAACTATTTCTGCCAAAAGGCTCTGTGTTTCCGTATTAATAGAACAAATTATATATAATAAACTGAACATATATACGTACAACTTAATATACCAAGTATTTATAGTTTTTCTTAAAGGATAACCTTCATACATATACGAAAAGGGACTGTTGCCCAAGTGTCTATTGGAAAAAACATACTTTGAAACGTCAGTTCATTGAGAAAGTATATTCATGATTTTGGTTCACCTAATGTTCAGATGAATGTACTTCCGAGTTGCCTCAATGCTTCCCATTGACAGTTAGTCAATGTGTTCATCAAGCAAGTTATACTTGTCAATACAATTTGTGTTAAATATGGCAAAATAAGTTAATGGCTAAGGCTTTCCCTCCAGAGGGTAATAAAACTTATATAATGCATTTCAGATATAAATGAATGTGCCACAGACAACGGAGGGTGTGAGCAAACGTGTTCCAACACTGTTGGTTCGTATGAATGCAGCTGCAATGTAGGATTTATTCTGAACAATGATAACCATGGGTGTGATGGTAAATTGTATTTTCCGAATATTATGTTATGTTATGGCCTCAAACATTTTTTAGACGATGTCCGGCGTTGGGCGGTCGGATTTCGGCGTACGAAGCAAATTATTACAACTTACAGCTGTTACAATAACTGGTGGTGGCATTACATCATGTTAATGCTTCCTTGTTTTAACATGTCTTACTCAGAAGCTCGTTTTTGGAACCCATCGCAAGTTTGGCGCAAGTTTTTATTCAGCTTAAAGTATACGGGCCCCAGGTTCAGATATCTTTACCCAACAAATAAATTTCGTATCAAAATCCATCATTCACAGAGAGTTCTATATTATCATTATTCTGTCTTCCTGTTTAATTATTTTTAATTCAACCTATGTGACACGACTCGACAATACTTTGAGGCCATTCTGTTTCTTGCAGATATCAATGAATGCTTGACCGGCAACGGACAATGTACCCACATCTGCACTAATTCTGTAGGCTCATATGAATGTAGCTGTAATGACGGATATACACTGGAATTGGATAATCATAACTGTACAAACCTGTTCGAAGGTATTATAGTCAATACTAATTAGAGGGGGTTGAATAAATAATATAGATTCCGTATCACATATTTCTTGTCTTAATTCCATGACTGTGTAAAAATTGGCTGTATACACTGAGGAGGGATGCAGCGAGACTACCTCACTGTTTCTTTAACTAATTGGTGAAATGCAACGTATATATGCCATCAAAATGCATCGACATTGGAGGAAGTTATGCCATCACGTGCTTCGGCTTAAGTACGACATGAAATCACTCCACTCGTGTAACATTGTACATGTAGGCTAGTGTGTACTCAAGCTTCATTGTCGCGAATGATAAGCGTGAAACATTCTCTATCTATGGCTGGCCAAGTGGTACAAAGTTACGTCGTTATGTTTACGACCGTAAAGTCGTTATTATCGGTTCCAAGAACGTAAATTAACGACCTCGTAGTCGTTATGTTTACGACCGTAAGATCGTAAATAAACGACCACAAGAACGTAAATGTACGACCATAAGGTCCAACCGGGACTCGGTTCAACAACGAGGCTGGTGCATGTAATGCACAAATGTCATATTTATGTTCAGGTGGTGTATGTACAACTGGGGATATGTTGATGTACCCCAAGGATTGTTCCAAGTTCCTCCAGTGCAGTCATGGATCGTTTGCTCTCAAACAGTGCCCAACCGGGACTCGGTTCAACAACGAGGCTGGTGCATGTGATCACGAGGCTAATGTCCATTGCCAAGGCGACGACGACGATGCTAATTTGGGTGGAGATCAAAGCATAATAGCAGAGGGTATTTATATCTTATATATCGTATACCATCGAAATATGTAAAAAACGTTCTTAATGGTTTAAGTACTTTGAAATGGTTGCACTACATTATATTGATACTTTGAATTATTTTAGCACCAAATAAGTAAATAAATTCCGTAAATATTCATACAGTTGTATTACATTGCTATTTATTCTTGAAGAGTGCAATCATATTCATTAAGTTACGCAAATAACATTTCTAACGATTTCGGCTTTTCAAACAAACTACATACAATCTTTTTTAAAAAAAAATATTTATTTAAATCAAGAACAGCTACATATTTGTCACAGAATCAAATATATCGAAATAGATGCATACACGTTGTAGAGTCAATTATGCTAAATTATCAAGGAAAATCAGTCGAAAGTATATCGTTTAGAGGATCACATTTATCTCCTCTTCCAACACTATGTCTAGTTTGTAGTAGGTTACATTTAGCTTAAAACCTCTAAATGTTGGTTTCACTCTGGAATGTTTACATAGGAATACATATCTTATAAAAATACTAAAAACGTTATTTAAAACAACCGCCTCTTTGGTCATTAAAATTGGTCCTAATATGATAGTTTGCTCGTTACAGAAATGCTCATATTCTTTTGGGAGCCATTGTTTTATATCTTGTACAAGGTTCTGTACTATTGCACAATCGTGAAAAAGGTGGCATATTGTGTCTACATGTATCCGACAAAAAGTGCACATATCGGAGTCTGTTAGACCACACATCTTTAAGTATTTGTTGGTCGTAACAAATCTATGTATTACATTGTTATGATATCTTATGTTAGGCGGGCCTTGTGAGGCGGGTGATATGTACAGAGACCCTGCTGACTGCTCCAAGTACTTGATGTGTTTACATGGAAAGTATCTGTCAAAGCAGTGTCCATCTGGTACACGATTCAACAACGATGCTGGAGCTTGTGACCACGAGGTGAACGTACCCTGTGAGAATCCTGATGACAATACTGATGGCGATGGTGCAGAGTCTGAAGCTGGGAAAGATGGGGATGAAGATGCGGCAGAATCCGCCCCCGAGCAAGATGACGAAATAGCAGCAGGTGCGTAAACAAAACGTGTGTGTCGGATATGAGGACATCGCAAGTTCCATCATATGGTCTATGTTTTCTTTCCCGACAATTCTTTTAATTGCTACATTCTGAAAGCTTTGAAATAAATTTAAAGGGTTCGAGATTCACCATGAAAAGGTAAAAACATATCAATGTTTAGCGGTGAAAGTATGTAAATCATCAAGACTATAGTATTTATGAGCGAGATATCATACACTCCCTTTGGAAGTTTGGTAATGGGAAGACCCATTTCAGACCATGTGCTAAGCCTGTTTATATTCGCTAAATATAATTGAAGATACACGATCGAAACGACTTTCTATACAGCTGTTCCATACGCGTTCCAGTGGAGATTTTCGCTTGCAAAAGTTATAAAGGGTGAACAAATTATTGGCGAGGGTCATACATTCCCCTCAAAATGTCAGCAAAAGGAAGAAACAAAGGTTTCTGGTTTCAGGTTTCTGATCGTCCAGACATTTACAATTTGCGCAACCAATTCTTACATTTTGAAATAACATTTTGATTTCTACAATAAAGTAAGAAACACTTTCTTTAACCGATATTGTATATATTTAGGTGGACCTTGTGAGGCGGGTGATATGTACAGAGACCCGGCTGATTGTTCCAAGTACTTGATGTGCCTACATGGAACATACCTGTCTTTGCCGTGTGGCGCTGGGACACGTTTCAACAATGACAAGAAAGCCTGTGACCATGCTGTCAATGTGCCATGCCCTTAGTTCATCAAATTAAATTTCACTTTTAACCCGAATTTTCTATTGAGAACTTCAAACATAGAATTGGACAATGCAGTTTATAAGAAGTAAATGGCGAAGTAATCTAGAGGAATCATGGATGGGTTTAAAATCATAATTGGTACATTTGAACCTTGTTCAATGTTACTTCGTTCTACTAAGTTTTGTTAGTCTATTACCAATGGTCGTGATTTTATTTTCATTTTACAAAACGTGTTCCAAATGCCGAAATATGCCAATCCCACACGATATGAACCCCCAGACTTGTATCTTTGGGACTATTTCAAAAATAGTGTGTACGCTAACAACAGGAGGTTGAAACAATAGATTGAAAGGAAGTTGAATGCAATTGCACAAGATGTATGAGCGTCAATCAAAATCACTTCTCTCATCGTTCAAGATTAATTGCCTCCAGAGACGAGACCGGCATTTTGCACATGAATTGTGAAATGGCCATTGAATCACAACGATTTGAATTAGACTATTTGGACTTCATGAAATGAATGAAAATTGAACAGTGTTTTAATTGTTTTGAATTTGACTTAAAATCCTTGTTGAATGACTCAGAGTTATTGACATTTGTTTTGGTTACCTTTATCTCTCGTCCTGTTATAATACATTATTATCCAGCCTTTATAAATAGCATATAGTGCGACAATAACATTAATAGTATTGCTTGACAATCTATCCTGTACTCAATCATCACCTTATCATGTATATACTAAATTAGAGAGGTTAAATGACACGTTTTTACGCTACTTATACGTGAACGTGTAATATTACGGCACTGCGGCGATAATTGCTCCCTCTCCATTGTTCTTTCAAGGGACCCAAATACAACTATTTCTTGATTAATATATCCGTGGGCTACTCAATCAAGAAAGTACATACTACCAAGAAGGGGAGAAATGATTTCAGGAGGACCATTATTCAACACGTTCACGTACAAGTTCTCTTAAAGCACGTAGCTTAATTCCAATTAAATATGCATTACATACCTACTGCCCCCTTACTTCGTTTTGATATTATGTAATACATGAGTTATGTCACTATGACGTGACAAATGCCTTCATTCTTGCCCAAATATAGAGCCTCCAAGGGAGAACTTAGGCATATTTCACCTCAAAGTGACAAACAAACCGCTAAATATATACTTATGATACTGATTCTTCCCTCCAAAAGTTTGCCAAACTTAGATTCCTCATTAAATATAGTTAAAGCTGAATTTCCATTTACATAATGTGTACTGGGAATATTGATTTCATGAGTGGAGGCATAAGTTCATTAAGTTTCAATGCCTCCAAATTTTCTCATTATTTGCTCTATTACAATCGTTTGGAAATCGATGAGAAATATGAAATTAATTCTGAAAATCGCCATTTCAAAATAAACCAATAGGAAATGTTGGTTTCAGTGCAATATTTCCAGATAGAAAAGTTAGTAGTCTAGATGCGAGTAGAAATTATCTTGATTTAAGTCATTAAATATTCAAAATTCAGTCAAAGTAATGTCATATTTCAAATCTACATGTAAAAGTACATACAGAAACATGGTTTCGAAAATTGTTTATCAATTTTTAAAATTTGATTTCTTTTTGAAAATATGACTTCTAGTTGGGGTTGATTCCCCATAAACACCATGTTACAAAATCACAAAAAGTGAAATATCTTTTCTTGTATTTGTCAGATAGATAACATTTTATTTTACTGGACATATTTTAATTTGCATAAAAACTATTAGATACATACACTCCCCTCCATAAGTTTGGCAACCTTAGCTCCCCCATTGAAGTATATGTTAAAGCCTCTTTACGTTTGAATTTTTATTTACTTAACTGCGATGAAATAACTTATAATATTAATGGAAATGTAACTTGATTTTATTTCCAATACCTCCAAATTTTCCCAATCTTTCCTCAATCATAACAGGTCGAAAATTGATAATAAATTTGATAACTTTTGAAAATTGAATTGTCTAACTTTTTGTACACAAAGTGTTTAGTTTAGTTGATGAATACTAAAGTTACAGAGCTTCAAAGTCATTTTTATAATCATTTTCGCCCCTGTATTATTTCAATGGGAGAGGTTTTTTGAAAAACAATTTTGACTTTAAGGAGTTTATTGCACTGTATATCAATTTTCTTTTCCTATCGAAATTATATAAAACATGCTCCCCTAAATCAATATAGATGCTCCACAGGCGTAACAACCCCAAGACTTCACCATAATGGACGAATAAAGAAGTATAAAAATGCCCATCTGAATTTTGTTATATTTATTCTCCTTGGAAAGAGAGAAAATGGCCTTGAACCTAGATTGCAAGCGCGATCTGAAGTAAGCCTACGTGCAATGTATTTCTGATGTACAAGAATAATCTAATTGTACATCCCGTATTGCACCAATCAATCGAAATATTGTAAAACAAGCATATTTCTAAATTGAGTAAAAGGAAGTGTTTTAAACAAAAAATGATAATAATAATATCAATATATATGTAATTTGCGCAAGCCACGCGAACTTTCAAATTTCTGTCATGATCATGAAGTTGTGTGATCAAAATAAGCTCAGTTTCATCACAAGGGCGCCGAGGATTAGTATTGTGTTAAAAATTAAATCCACATTATACTCCCATCGCCAAGGCCCCGATACAGTGTGAATCTGACCTTGTGCAAGCGAGGTATTATTGGGCGTGTTCACTCAGGTGTTCTAATAATCGCTCGCGAATCGCAGCTCTGTCACGGTGAATAGAGGAGACACGATTCAAATTCAAATTGGTTTTGGCCTACTTCAAACGTATTCCGAGTGAACACAATCAGGGGGCCCAAAGATTGTGAACTATTTATTCACAATTACAGGAGTGAGCGTGATAAGCTCTACTCAAAATGTATTCTGAGTGAACTCAACATGGGGGCCTAAACATCGTCAACTATTGACATTCATAATTACAGGAGTGAACGTAACCAGCTCTATATTCATGTAGTCTAATGTGCCTACGTAGACGCCATCGTAGGCTCATGAATATAGAGTTCAATTGATCGAAACCGAAACAACACGTTCACTGAAGTGTGATTTATTATAAGAACAACAAACGATCATTTGTATTTTTATATTCTAATTCATTTCCTTATGCTATGATGGAGTTTATTCAACGGGAGTCGCAATTATTTATATATACCGTACAATAAACACTTTAAAGCCCTACAACTTGATTGAACATGAAGAAACATATCAATTTTTAGTTAGATCAAGTTAGCAAATTCAATTGCCTGCATAACTCGTATTTTTGGAGGTATTGGAAATAAAGTCAAATTACATTTCCATCAATAGTATAAGTATTTTCGTCGCAGGTTAAGTAAATAAAAATTCAAAGATAAAGAGGCTTTAACACGTAGTTCAATGGTGTGATTTGCCAAAAGACATATAAATGACATTCAATGATTCGTAATAAAATGCTGCGACAATTTTATTTCATTATATTTTTGGTTCATTTTCGGCTCCGTCCGTTGGTCGTCCGAAAACAGTGGCCACACAAATTGTGCTATTCGTATTATCCTTATTGTGTACAACGTATTTTTCATAACACTGATGGACAGGGAGGGGGGGGGGGTCAGACAACCTTCCTGGCGTTTCCAAAGTTGAAGAGATACAGTAAAAACTGGGGACCATATAATGGGTCATCCATATCTCTCTAGGGAGGTGTATTTAAAAAGTAGATCAAATGGGGTCAAATGTAGGAGATTTTTATGTATTTTTCAATTAAAAAACGTATTATGTTTTGTGAGCCAGTAAAGGGTAACACATGTGATAGATGTGTATAAGATCTATCTTTTAGGACAAAAAATGTGGGTAGATTTTTGGAAAGTGTATATAGCGAAAATAAGCATATTTGAGTCAGAAGTACGTAGCATGCAGCATTGACCAATTTTCATGATTTATTTTGCTTCTAATTATGAATGCTACATGTTTTTATAGATATATAATTACACGTCGCACGAAACTGGGGACAATTAGAGTAACATTATGGCGTCAAAATACCAAACAATACAATGGGCAGTATAGGGCGCAATCAGCATTATAACGTCAAAAACGACAAGCGTTACATTTTGTCAACCTAGAAATAAGATGCTTTCTTCTTATTCAATCCTGGTAAAATTCACAGAGCAACAAGATCTCAAGGACAATATTTCTAAAATGTTTTTGATTTTTGAAAAACGGTCAGGAAATCCAATCGGGGCGTTAGCAAAAATTGATATGTATGAGATTTGTGGTAAAAAATCGATGCGTTACATTTTTTCAAGTCTCTAAAAACAACTCTTATTTTCTTATTATTTGAAGAATAAAGAAATCGGTTATTGTTTTGTAAATTTCCCCATGACAATATTGTGCAGTTAAATTTTTTTTGAAATCAGACCTAAATTAGAAGGTTAAATAAAGGTAAACTTATTGCTTGTCTCCTTCGCCTTCAAAACCTTACACAATTTTGAAAACTTTAAAAGCGTTCATATAAGACGATTTGAACTGTAGTCGCTAGGCAATTGTGACGTCATAAAAGCACATGTTTCAATGAATAAAATGTGAAATTTTAGTAAAATTCTGATCAGTATTTCAAAAGTTATCCCGAATTCAACGAACCGTGTAAGCATGGAATGTTACGTCTTACAGCGTATTTGACGATGTCGGAGTACATTTAACTTTAAAAATATGGTAGATCTCATCAAACTTTTCAAGGAAAAATGATTTCAGTGAAATGCGAATAAAAAATACTTCAAATTGATATATAATGCACATAGTTAGCTTTTTAAATAAGGCAGATATTAACGCTTGGAGCTGAGATTAGCCCGTATTTCCCGAATTGTCCCCAGGTCCGTGCACGT